GTAATTTAACCTTGGTTGGCTATGACAGAGGTCAAATGTTTCCAGTTGGCCTTCACCAGGTTTGCACACACCGAAGCTGGTATTTGGGACCATCTTTCCCTGCAGATCTTCTATAGAGCTATGATGCTTTGGGGCTGTTGGGCAACACGAACTTTCAGCTCCCTCCACAGATTCTAGATTGAGGTTTGGAGATTGGCTCGGCCACTCCAGAACCTTCAAATGCATTTTACATGGCCACTGCTGTGGACTACCATTATCCAAACCAACTCTTTAAAAATCACACAATGTGATTTCTTGGATATTTTTGTCATTCACAGTTGAAGTGTGTCATGAAAATCTAGACTCCCCCGTCATCTTTCTGATTAGGACAACTTGCTGACGAGTTTTTGCATTGTGTGTGTGTGTGTGTGTGTGTGTGTGTGTGTGTGTGTGTGTGTGTGTGTGTGTGTGTGTGTGTGTGTGTGTGTGTGTGTGTGTGTGTGTGTGTGTGTGTGTGTGTGTGTGTGTGTGTGTGTGTGTGTGTGTGTGTGTGTGTGTGTGTGTGTGTGTGTGTGTGTGTGTGTGTGTGTGTGTGTGTGTGTTTTCTACCTGGGGTGCTAGTTGATTAGGTGGATGTTCAGACAATTTTAATTTAAGGCAAATCTAAATGTTCATTCAAGGAAGAGAATGACCAAATAATTCACATCAGACAACAAAATTAGTTGTTTTAATCATCAGTGAAACTATCAATGAAGTGTGAATGCTGTGAACACCTGGACATTACAAGGATTACGTGGGGACAGCAGTAGCTCAGGTGGTAGAGCGGGTTGCCTCACGATCATGGGTTTGATTCCAGCTCCCACCAGGAGTATTCTCTCATTGTGTATTCTCGTATTGGGTGCTTGGGCAAGACACTTCGCCCAACTTGCCTGTGTTGGTGGTGGTCAGAGGGGCAGACGGCACCAAACGGCAGCCTCGCCTCTGCCAGACCGCCCCAGGGCGGCTGTGGCTACAAAGTAGCTAACCATCACTAGCAGTGTGTGAATGCGAGAGTGCATGAAAGCATCTTTGAGTGTCCTAAAAAGCACTATATAAGTTCAATGTATTATAATTATTATTAAAAAGCAAAAAAAGGCTGAAATGCAAATAGTTAATCAATAATACAATGTAAACAATAATAAAATACAAGAAAATAATTCAAATAAGTGTGTTATGATTCTGTCGTTATACTTTTGTATTTGTTCTCAATTTTCTTTTCACTGAAAGTCCTCATCAGAAACATTTTAAACCTCTCTGCATCACTCTGGCCAGGCAACATGTCAGTCAGTTGGTGGGCAATCACAGCAGCCAGTACTCAAGAGGTGCCAGAACCAGCAGCTGGTGCCAGGAGGCCCAGCTCGGCCTCCTCACTGGGTCATGAATGGTGGCATTGCTGCAGTAATTAACCAGAGGGCAGGCCAAGCAGCCACCTTAGAGCGGCCTCTGAGCCGCCGTAGAATAAAACCTTGTTCAAATTAGTGAGACGAGGGGGGGGCCTCAGCTGTCTGCGGTCAGGCTGCATCGTGTGTGTGTGTGTGTGTGTGCGTGCGTGTGTGTGTGTGCGTGTGTGTGTGTGTGTGTGCGTGCGCAAAATAATTTCAGTTTAAATTGGTGGTAAACCTTGACGGGCAGATTGACTTTCTGTGGTGACTCCAGGGTGTTTATGCTTCTGAATGAGACTATTTGAGTTCAGAACATTTATTCAGCATTAAGTCAGTGATTGACTTTGAATCCTTAAGAAATATAACAAATACTTTTATAGCATGACTGGCAGCTGGGTTAACTTAGTAATTTTAGTTTTCCTTGGGTTTAATAACATATCAGGTACATGTATTGCTTTTGGTCTCCTGAAGTTGATCCGAAAGTCAAAGCTGTGCTGGAAAAGTCAAACTGAACAATGGCATCCTACTCATAATTAAAATATATTGTTTCTACTCCAATTAGAGATGTTTAATGTCTGAATTAATTCTAATGAATCAGAACAAGTCGAATTTCATCAGAATCAGGTGGTTTGGAGTATGTCTGCAGTTGATGGACCTTTAATGTGAGCAAAACCTGCAGCTGATCTGTATTTTCTGGTGAATAGATGTAAGTTTTAGGTGAACTCTTTGTTTGGTGATGAGGTTGTTTGAGAAGAAATCACGCCCATCTATTTCTAACTCAACAGTCACTGAGATCAATGTTAAAGCTCTAGCTTAAAGTTTAAAAACTATTTAGTGTTACTTTAAAGGTGATCAGTAGCAGGAATATTCTGCACAGGCTTTTGATAATCACTGAATGAAGCGGTTGTTTTGAGTAGGTGCGCTTGTAAAACAAACTGTCCAACAGGACCCTAATGCAGGTTTTGGCTATAAAGGTAAAACATCCAAGACAAGTCATATATTACTTATGAATTTGTTTCGTGTCGTGTCTTGTGTAAATATTCACCACCGTACGCTGCTGGAATATTGTGAAAAAGATTTTCAAGTGGAATTTGTCACAAATGTAGCTTTCTGGTAAATAGTGAAACCCTCGTTTAAATTTTAGTTGAATTTGAAATGAGAAAAGGAATAAGAACCTTGTGATAAATCTGAATAATTATTGCGTCAAAAGACAACAACAAAAAAACGCATGATCCCTAAGTAGTAATAGAAATCATCCTAATTGGGGGTCATTATTTTCTGTTAATGAATCATAAAGGCAGATCTTATCTCAGATGATTAATTTGATGAGGGACTGACATTGACTTGGTTCTCTTCTGTGTCTCAGAGAGAAAATAGACCAGAAATCATTTTATAGTTTTTATAACCTTAAGCTATTGCAGCAACATTTACACTCATGGCCATTCTCATGTCAGTTTAATATGTTTTTCCTGTCAAGGACATGTCGCATGCATGGAGGAAAGTGAATGAGTTTCCTCAGAAATGTGAAATAAAAGTAGAACGGAAGGTTGTTTATTCATAGGAGCCCGTTAAGTCAGCTGGAGGTCCATACCATCAGCTAATGGTAAAATGTGTGTTAAATCCCAGAGACGAAGGTTCATATTTCAATTATCAGGTGTTTGATGTTGATGGTGTGTGTGTGTGTGTTTGTGAGTGCACACTGGAGATGTTCACCCATCAGCCCACCAATCACCCTTTTATGACTAAACGTCTACTTGGTGATTTGCACCAAAAGCCAGAATAGGATTGTATGAGTTTTACTCAGCTTAAAAAAAAAAGCACTTTTTAACATCAGTCCTCTTTGTTTTCTCAGTTTGTAGTTTTTTTCTGCTAAAACCAGCATCTCGCTGTGCTGTGACTGTTGGCTGTGTCCCCTTCTGGGCCCGCTCTCTCTCCCATGCTGCTGGAACTTTGAACATAGTCCAATTATTCAGAGTCCTGGAACCCTTCTGAAGTTAGCTTCTGTGACCCAAAGCGTGGAGAACAATGACGTTGTGACTGATTGGAGACAAAAATTAGAATCTGATATTTCAAACGTGACAAATGTAAGTCAAATGAAGACATAATTAAGACTAAATTGCATCAAGAAATGTTTCATAACACTTTCTGAGAAAAGTCTGTTTGAAATTAGAACTAAAAGTAGAACTGTGAGGTCATTATTGCAAGATCAAAGAGAAAGTGGTCATAATGCTTTGGTTGATCTTATTTAGACGATGGTGAAATAGTTTATCATATGTTCGCGTGCAATTTTGTTCTTGGTTTCTTGGTTTTTGTTAACGCAGCCTTTTTGTTCCGTCTTTGTTGTTGTTGTTGTTGATTTGGAGGACCCACTCAAACACGATTGCCCATCTCAAGTGGTTTCTATCCTCCTAAAATATATGTGCATAAATAAATAAATGAATAAATAAAATAGTAAAGGCAAGGTAGCTTAATTTATGCAGCACAGTTCATACGTACAAGCAATTCAGTTTGCTTTCCAGGTGCAAGAACAGTAAGAACATAAAACATTAAGACAGCAGAGACAACATACATGAATACAATTTGATGTAAGAAATAAAAAGGCTAAGTGAGAGACAGTTACAGTGCAGAACCTTGTTGTCTCATTCATTTGACACATTAAACTCTCAAAAATGTAATTGTTTGATTTATTTTTTTATTAAAAATGTGAAAATCCAGCTTTTGCATCAGTTCGGTCCAGTCCTTGTCATCAGGTCCACTATATCCTGCAGACTTTAGCTGTTTCACCGCTCCTGATTGGATTAACAGGCATGTGAAGATCTTTCAGGACCTGCTGAATAGCTGATTCCATCATTCAATTCAATTCAAGTTTATTTATATAGCGCCAAACCACGACAAGAGTCGTCTCGAGGCACTTCACATAATAAATATTCCAATTCAGGTCAGTTCATTAAGCCAATCAGAAATAATGTTTCTTATATAAGGAACCCAGCAAATTGCATCAAGTCACTGACGGGTGTCAGTGACTATACAGCAATCCTCATACTAAGCAAGCATAAAGCGACAGTGGAGAGGAAAACTCCCTTTTAACAGGAAGAAACCTCCAGAGAATCCTGGCTCAGTATAAGCAGCCATCCTCCACGACTCACTGGGGGTCGAGAAGACAGAGCAGACACACACACACACACACACACGCACGCGCACGCACACGCACACGCACAAGTAATGTGTCTATAGTTATATTGTGATGTCTTAGTAAATATTCTATTTGGTGAGAGATAAACTTTATTGTATTTATCCTAGTGGATCTATAATTAAACGGATAAACTAGTATTAGCACATCCAACGTCAAGGAAAGCAAAGAGTTTTTGGTATATCATGTGATGGTTTCAGTGGTGTTGGAGCGGAGAAACATCTAAAAACTGCAGGATGGTGTCCAAGAAGACCAGGACTGCAGACCACTGTCACAGGATCACACCTGCACCCGGCTTTCTGCTGCGACTGCAACGTTTCCCTGTGATATGAAATGATTTAATTTGTGTTAGCGCTCATCGTGATGCTGCATGTCAACTGATGGTTTTCTCTCCGGTGTTGCCTTCACAGAGCCTGGGAACAACAGGAAGATACGACAGCAGAAAAAAGTGAGTCATCCTGTTTTCATCACCTCTCAGGGCTGAAACGATCTTGTGCGTTTCGCTACTCGGTTTCATTTTGAAAACGTCCTGGAGCTCATGAGTAATAAGATATGATTTAATAAAACAGGAAGCAGAACCTCTGCAGGACTTTCTGAGGGAATGATTCGCTAACTAGATTATGTCACCACTCTTATTGCGTTCCAAATTAAATGACGGATACTTTTAGCTGAAGAAGTGAAACTTCACAGATTGCAGAGATGAGGTTTCTCCCTCCATGGGAGCAATTACTGATAATTTATTTTACAATCCCAGATTAGGATTATAATCTAGCGTTCCACGGTGATGTTCAGAAAAGAAGAAATCTGAGAAGCATTAGGTTTGTCTTTCAAAGATAAGAATGTTTTTTCAACCCTCCTCAGCTACAGAAGAAGTTATTAAACTACAATTCACAGAAGGTTTTAAATCCAATCTGCTGTTAGATGTTCAGATTCTGGTTTTCGGTGTTTTTTGGGCTCAGGTTTGTTGCTTGGGCTTATGTCCACTAGTTTGGGTCCTGTTTAATCCAGCTTTTTTCTTTCTCCTCACTCAAATGAACACATAATCCCACATTTTTGTTCCGTCTGCAGTCCTCAACCTCCTCCTGCTCTGAGCTCATGTCGGTGCATGTTTTTTCATCCTTTTTTTAAAATCATTTGTGTGGTTTATACACCTGCCTCTGGTGAAAATGATATTAACCACTGAATCGTGTTGCTCACAGAACCAGGTCCACTCTCTGCTTTGGTTCTGTCCGTATCGGGTTCATTTTTCTGAAACGTTGGGTCTACTGGCACCAGGACTCACAGGTGCAGAATTCCAGAACCTTTGGAGACGCTCGTATCTCTGATTCCACTCAGAAATTTCATAAACGTTGTTTTCCTGCTCTTCGCAGCAGCTCCATCTTCAGCTCGTGGGGTTTGTGAGAGCACCGCATTCAGCACTCACTCAGACATTTAGGGGCCCAAGGTAGCTATTAAGAATAATGGCCTCTGGCTACCTGTTACCATGGTGACAGAGGAAAAGGAAAAGAGGCAGATATCCAGGAGCTGATGAAGTGAGGAGAACGTGCTCATCTGTCTCCTCCGAGGACAAAAGAAGCTCTCAGTTAACGTGTGATTATCTGCTGAATATGGATTATAAGGGTTTAGATTACAGCCTGAGCTGAGATTAATCAGGTGAAAGAAATTTGTTGTTCAGGGTTAGCCTAACACTACTGGATTTGTTCACGGCTTTGATATGCAAACCCAAAGTGTTTACAATTAGAAACACTTTAGTTTTACACTTGGTACACACATAGTAAAGGTGCTGAGTCAGGCTTTCTTTGATTTATTGAATGTTTCAACATGGAAATCTTCAACCAAAAGCAATGGTGGTTTCTTTTTGTGCCAGGTTTAGAAAATGTTGTTGTTGTTTGTTAGACCTTGCAGAGTCATGAACTTGTTTTCATAAAAGTGTACCAGAGCACGGAGAAGTCACCGGTTTTCATTTTCTGTTCTACCTCTCTGGTGGTCTGCATCGTCTCCTCTCTCTAATTTACCAATTTATTCTGTAAAATCAGTGGAACCAAAATGATCAAAAAAGTCAGAAAGCTTAAGCTTCAGCTAAAGGAAAGTTTCCTTGATATGACTAAACATCAGTCATCAGTCTGTCAGAATCTTACATCTAATAAACTAGATGTCTGATTCTACTTAAGTGGTTACAAACTCCTGAAAGAAACGAGGCGTTAAAATAGGTAAACCTTAATCTACAGGTTAGGAAATAACTCGACACAATGAAACGATCTCTGACTTAGCTGACCCGAATACCTTCCTCCATTAGCTTGTTTGTGTGGAGATCATTTTTTAAATGCTTCTACCAGGAAGAGCTTCAATGATTCAGACGTTGCAACTATTTCATCATGTGACCCATCAGCTGTTTCTGCAGGCTTTCGTCTGAACCACGACTCTATACATTACAGCCAGCAGTGTTGTCTGATTTGTTTGTTCAGAAAGTGCCCCTGAACCAGAACATCAGCTGCACATTTACCTTCAGTTTCCATCCGAGTTTGAAACGTTCATCAGAAAAGAAATGTGTGGTGAAAGTTTTCTGTTCAACGGTTTCTCTGGGTTTATGAGTGCCGTGCTTCTATTTAGATTCTGGAGAATTAGACATTTTGTTCTCAGCCAATTTCAAATTGGGTCTTTAAATAAACCAAACCTGACTTGGTAGACCTGGTTGAACCCTTTTTCTGTGATTTTTGCGTGTCGTCCTTGCTTTTGTTGCTGAATCGGTTTGTGCAGGATAGAAGGTGAGAGAGGACTTTCATGAAGGACCTGTTTGAACTTCACACACTAACACACAGGCTGAAACAATGAGTGGCTTCAGTCGTGACTGGAAGTTTTGAGTCAGAGGCTCATTAAAGCAGATTTCTGTAGAACTCCCACTCTCTCTGCAGCTTTCAACTCTTCTTTCATCCCTCCATCGCTCTCCCCTCCTCAGACTGCTGCAGCTCTAATCCAAGGCTGCGGTTGTCATCCTGTAATTCATCTTTTTTCACTCTCTCTCAAAGACAATCATTAAAGTGGTCATTGTATTTCTAATGGGCCATTGAGAGGCTCTTTTTAGTTTCAAAACCTCACAGAAACAGGAGTTTGCTGACATAACAAAGCAGCCTGATAAAGCTGTTTTGTTGTTATAGTGATTACTTGGATAAAGTGATGCAATCATTCTCATCTTTCATGAACTCCATCTTATCTGCCGCAGAAACACCAGCGCTGGTTTGGATCAGCAGGTTCTAGAGCAAAATACTTTGGCTGAATCAAGATTTAAGTGGTAAATAACTGGTCGTTTTCTTTCTCATCACAGCTGGAAAACAGAAAACATAACCAGTGATTGTCTTTCTTTACACCTGAGTGGTGTTTCTAATAGTTACACTACTCGCAAGTCCAGCGTTGCAGAAATATTGCCACCAAGCTTGGCGGCATGAAAGCCGTATAATTCCTGCATCACTATGTATTACTCTGGTTTGCTGACAGTGTTTCTTATGAAAGTGGCTTTAGATGCAGATCAATGGGGATGATTTCAATTAAGTTGATTTATAAAGTACCAGGTGATGACAGAAGTCATACCAAAGCGGTACACAGTATTCAAGTCATTTCAGGTCCAGGTTCAGGCTTTTTGACTGCAATAAATGTAATGGAATTTTAACAAAACTAGATTCATTTAAAATGCCAATGAGTCAAAATTCCCCTAGACAAATTAACTAGGAGATTGGATCTAACCATCACTTTAACAGAATTGATATGGTCCCCCATTCTGACCAGCACAGTACGAAGGGCGACAGTGGAAAACTCCCTTTTCCAAAAAAGTTCAAATGAATCCAACTGGACTTCTTTGGTTTCTCGAAGATGTTTTGCTTCTCATACGAGGAGCATTGTCAGTTCTGACTGGAATATGAAAGTGTCAGGCTTATAATATTTAGCTGATTATTGTTGCTTACTGAGCAGAAACTACCTATGAATGCCCCTCCTCCCTAGCCCCTGATGAAACCTACATTAAATAGAAGAGGAGGACTCAAGTTTCACCTTTGCATCACCTTTGACCTTTCGCCTTCAGAACTGCCTAAATTTACGTGGCATTGATTCAACAAGGTGCTGAATGCATTCTTTAGAAATGTTGGCCCATGTTGATAGGATGGCATCTTGCAGTTGATGAAGATTTGTGGGATGAACATCCAAGGCACGCAGCTCCCGTTCCACCACATCCCAAAGAGGCTCTATCGGGTTGAGATCTGGTGACTGTGGTACAGTCACCGTTGTAGTGCAGTGAACTCATTGTCATGTTCAAGAAACCAGTTTGAAATGATTGGAGCTTTATGCATGGTGCATTATAACAATAACCCAAATAATAATCAAATCTACTGAGTCAACAGAAATTACCTAAAAAAATTCTTGGAATTTAAATTGATGAGAGGCTGAGTTGGAAAATACATGTCGACTATATAAGTAATAAGATCTATAAGTCCATCGGCATAATAAGGAAGTTTAGCCATAATGTTTCTACAAAGTGTCTTCCCACGTTGTAGCCTTGTGTATCTGCATCTCTCTTATTGCAATATGATTTGGGGTAGTTCTTTTCCACTGCTCTCAACTAGGGCTGCCACAAATGACTATTTTAGTAGTCGACTAATCGCCAGTTTTGTTGACGATTAGTCGCCTTCTCATGTCATTTATAAAAGTTTAGCTTATTGCACCAGGATGCTCTAATATACCCATCATTAGCTTCTAGTTTGGCTATGTGCCTTCTAATAATGAAGACAAGATGATAGCTTATCAAACAACTTTTAATTAACTTTGTAACCTGTTAATACAAGTGCCACAGTCAAATGAAGGTAAGCACCTAAAACCAAAAATAAATTGTGCACAAAAATTACTTGTGTTCGCGAGAGGCATGGTGGCAAGGTTGAAGCGCCTCATCTTCCAATCTTAACTCGGGGAAAGGCAGAACATACTGAGGTTACGCCTCTGTAGCACGGCTGGTCCACACATCAGCATAAATGTTAATTCCTTGATTGCTCAGTCAGCAACCTTTTTATTTTAGCAAAAAAGGCATTATATTCTAATATTTACTTTATTTGTGTCCAGAGAGAAACAGAATCAGATGCATCGCTCACATGCGCACACACACAATTTTAAGGTTATTTCATTTTTCTTTTCCATCATGGTAGTGAAATGAGATTGGCCTTGTGGGTAGTTGTCGCGGTATCCTGGGTTGAGCTGCTTGATCATCTCTCAATCAATCAATCAATCAAATTTTATTTCTAAAGCGCTTTTCAAACAAAGTGTTATTCAAAGTGCTTTACAAAATGACCCCAGATTCCCATAACAGGTTAAAAACATTAACAAACATATGCAATCACACGCACACACACACAGACTCACACACACACACGAGTAAAAATTATATTAGGCTGAGTCCAGATGAGCCAAGTA